CGACCTTGAAGGGGGACGGCGACGATGGCGGCGGCAGCAGCGGCGACGACGACGACGACGCTGACGCTCTGGAGCTTTCCTTGGGGCTCTCTTGGGAGGCTCTTGGGCTCTGTTGGGGCTTGGGCTGGGACCGCGGCTGTCCAGGATGGTCTCAAGACGGCCCAAGAGGCCCCCAGGCCGCCCCAAGATGGTTCCAAGAGAACCCCCAAGAGAGCCCCGAACGGCAAAAATCGTCAAATTCCCATGGGAAGCTTTATGTTTGGCATACTCATGTTTTGTCCCACCAGCGCACCAGGCGGTTCCGACAGGCCCCAAAGAGCGCCACAAGGCCGCCGAAGAGGCCCTCAAGAGGGCCCCAAGAAACCCAGGATGGCCCCAAGAGGCGCCCAAGACGGCCCCAAAAAACATTTCAAGAGGGCCCCAAGAGGCCCAAAAGAGGCTCTCCCGAGCGCCCCCCCGAGCGGCCCTCCCATTGCCCTCGGCGCCAAGGTGGTCCCCAGAGCATGCCAGCGAGCCCCAAGAGCCCCCCAAAGCTCCACAAGAAGCTTCCGAGAAATCCCCAAGAGGCCCCCAGTAGACGCCCAAGTGGCCCGCACGAGTCTTCCGAGCGGTCCCCGTAGAGACTAGAAGATTCATCTTGCGCGCCCCACGCCGAAGACACCTCCATCCCCCCCAGAAAAAAGTATGCCGACACGAAGGACACAAACGCTCTGCCCCCTCACTCCTCTTCATCCTCGTCCTCCTCCTCCTGCCTCCTCCTGTCCGTAGCCATTTTGGCTCAAGCCAGTGCGGCTCCAGGTCTCAGCTGAGCTCTGGGAAGAGTACTTAGGGGCACAAAACTGACATAAACATGAAATCTCGGAGGTCCGCGCGGATTTCTCGGATCCGCGCTGGGGCCCCCCGGCGGCGCCTCTGGCGCCGCCCCTGGCGCGCTCCGATCCGAGGAGCCCGCGCGGACCTCCGAGCTTTCATGTCTGTGCCATTGCTTGCTCCCCTGAGGAGAGGGCGCGCCGAGCCGCCCGACCCCCCCGCCGCTCCCCAGGGCCTCCTAGCGATGGCCGGCCAGCGCGCGCGGGCTCGCGGCGCCGTGGCCCTCGGGCTGGGGCTCCTCCTGGCCGCGCTGGCGGCCCCCCGCCCCGGCGGCGCCTTCGCGGGGTCCCCGGCGCAGCCGAGGGCGGGGCGGGGCGCCGGCCCCCTGCGGGCGGAGGGCGAGCATCTCGGCACGCACGGCGTGGGCGCGGAAAGACTGGGCTTAAGTCGGGCCTGTCCCCCCTACAGGGGGATTTTCGACGAAAGCTAAAAAAAATACCCTAAAAGTAGGCCAAAAATAGTCCCAAAATGGTCCAGGTATTGTTTGACTTTTTTTGTTTACCTTTTTGGGGTATTGTGGGGGTATTTCTCATTTTTCGTCGAAAGTCCCCTTGTAGGGGGACAGGCCCGACTTAAGACTGGGCACAATGCCCAGCAGCAGTTCCTGCTCATTCCGAACAGGACTCGCTGTCCACGCCGCCACGGCCTGTGTCCATTCGAGACAGGAGGCCGCCCGCCCAACGGCAGCCGCTGCGGGTTTGGGACAACATTTGTTGTTCGGCATTGTACCCATTCTTTCCGTACCCATTTCGGGCGTCCAAAATCGAAGAAGAAAAACCCGCGTAAACACAAACTCTGGGCGCTCCGCGCGGATTTCTTGGATCCGCACCTTCTTGCATCCGCGCCTGGCCCCCCCCCGGCGGCGCCTCCGGCACCGCCCCTGGTGCGCTCCGCGCGCCAGGGAGGGGGGGGGTCCCGCGCAGATCCGAGCAATCCACGCGGAGCGCCAAGAGTTTACGCTTGTGCCGCTGCTTCTTCTTCCAGAGAAGTCCGTCGCGCTCGTGAAGGTCACCGAGGAGAACGCCATCACCACGGCCAGCCTCCTGGGCGGAACCGTCGGCCTGCTCACGGGGGGCGTCTGGGTCGGGGCCGCCCTCTTCGCGGCGTCGTCCTACCTGTCCCGGCAGGAGGACTCCGACGTGTCCAAAGCCCTGAAGGGCGTGTCCTCCACCGCCCTCGAGGCGCTCAACTTCGGCGCCTACCTGAATGACAAGTATGCGGTCACGAGCACGATCAGCGATTCCTTTGCGAGCGCCCTGGAGTCGAGCCCTGAGGCGAAGAAGTCGATCGACGATGCCTGGAGCGGCGTCAACGATGCCTACAAGTCTGTCGACAAGGACATCGGCATCAAGGACACCCTGGGCACCATCCTGGCCTCTGGCAGCGAACTCGCTTCTCAGGCGTTCGAAAAGGCCGTGGAGCTGAACAACAAGTACAAGGTCGCGGACCAGATCGGGGAGAAGATCTCGGAGGTCATCGATAAGGTACAGGCGCCTAAGAAGGCCTGAGTCCACGGCGTGCGGCCTGCGATGCAGTCGTTCTAGTTTTTTCAACGGTGCGAGCTTTGCGACGCAGTCACTTGTCCAGCGCACTCGAGTGGGCTGGATGCTTGCGGGGCCTCGGCAGTTCTCCTCTCGGCTCCCGGGGAGCCCTCTCGGGCTCTCCCCACCAGCCAGCAAGTCCGCCCCCCCGGCGGAGCCCCTAATTCCTCTGTCGGCGTCAGGTCCGTCGGTGCGCTCGTAGCTGCTCGTGCCCGTCTTGGCCCGCAGTCGCCAAGGCCGTCGGCACTGTTTTCTGTGCCTTCGCTTGCGAGAGCAGAGCTCTCTCTCTCTCTCTCTCTCTCTCTGTCTCTCTATCTCTCTCTCTCTCTCTCTCTCTAGCGCGAGCAGCATGCGCGCTTCAGAGCAAGCAAGGCATGAACTCATGGTTTTCCATCTGTATGTTTGCGCACCGCGCCTTCGTGCGCTCCTGCCTCCTCCCCCTTCCCCTCCCCGCCCCTCCCTCCTCTCCCCTGCTTCCTCCTCCCCCTTTCCCTCCCGCCATCCCCTCTCCTACTCTCTTGCTCTCCTTGATTCCCCGCTGCCTACCTCCCTCCACCCTCCTCCGTCTCCCTCCTCCCGTTTTCACTCCCCTTCCGTCTTTTCTCCGTTCTGATTCTTTCTCCTCCCCCTCTTCCACCACCCTTCTTCATGTCCCGTTCTCTGTTCTGGAACTTCAAGTTGTTGCGAAAGTGGAGTTCCAAGGCGGCCTCGGAGGCCAAACTGGCCCCGATGAGATGCAGTTTTGCCGACATGGTCCATGACTGCCGCGAGCACCTAGCTTCAATGCGACCTCAGACACCAACGCGCGGGTTTCCAAGCCAAGGGCCCGACTATCCAGACACACCCCCTCTGACGCGCTGTGCGCTTGGCCCCATTGACAAGTAGAGCTTCGAAGCGCGCGAAGTGCGCGCGATGGTTCTATCATGTTCATGCGTGTACATATATATACACACATACATACATACATTCATTCATACATACATACATACATGCATGCATGCATGCACGCATACATATATACATACATACATGTATGCATGCATGCATGCACACATACCTATATACATACATACATACATACATACATACATACATACATACCTACCTACCTACCTACCTACATACATGCATACATGCATGCATGCATGCATGCATGCATGCATACATACCTATATACATGCATGCATGCATGCATACATACATACATACATACATACATACATACATACATACATACATACATACACACATACACACATACATTCATTAATTCATTCATTCATACATACATACATACATACATACATACACACAGACAGACAGACAGACAGACAGACAGACAGACAGACAGACAGACAGACAGACAGACAGACAGACAGACAGACGTACGTACGTACGTACGTACGTACATACATACATACATACATACATACATACACATATCGATATATGTGTATATATATGCGTACATATACATACATACAGACAGACAGACAGACAGACAGGCAGACAGACAGACATACATACATCCAGCTAATACTTTAAGGAGTTCCAGGGACAGAAATCGCTCTCGGTCTTCGTTCCAGAACAACACACAAGAGGCACCGTCGCCAGGGGCACCGACACCAAGGGCGCCGACGCCGAAGCGCTCGAACCCATCCTCGACGTGCGCTTTCGGCGGGGCCAGAGAGGTTCGGGCCCCCCGGAACCTCCGAAGCCTTCCCGAGGTCTGGACCCATTCCCCGGGACCGGTTTTTCATCCTGAGTCGTTTTTTGACGGTCCCGAGGCCCGGTGAGGGCCCCCGGAGGGCGAAAATACTGAAAACCCCCCCGTCGTGATGTTCTCATGACGCGAGGGGGTCTGGGGATATGGATCCGTCCCCGCTTCGGCTCTGGGGAGGTGGCCCTGTGCTGGGCCGTCGTCAGTGCCGTCGCTGACATTGGCCCCCCCCCGCTGGGAGGGGCCGCGCGGGGGGGGGCCCGCGGCCCGCCCTATCGGTCGAGTCCGCTGGGCGACCGCAGGGGGCGCGGGGCCGCGGCGGCGCCGCGGCGCGGCGGGGCGGAGGAGCGGTGCCCTGCGCGCCTCGGGCGCGCGGGCCGCAGGCCGCTCCCCCGGGAGCTCGCCCTCCGCGCCTCGGCCGACGGCCCAGGCCCAGGCCCAGACCTCGGGCGTCTCGAAAAAAAATCGAGGCGTGGGTTTTCGTAGTTTTTGGCCTCTCGGGGCCCTCGCCGGGCCTCGGGGCCATCGAAAAAGCGACTCGGGGTGGAAAACCGGTCCCGGGGAAGTGGTCGGGAGGTTCCGGGGGCCTGCGTCTCGAAAAAATCGGGGCGTCGGATGTCTGGGGACGCGTTCGCGTCGTTGAAAAAATCAGGACGGGGGGTGTTTGGGCCATTTGGGGCCTCCGGGGGCCCGGGCCGGGCCCCGGGGAAACGGTTTGGATTCCCAGGGGCGCCGTCTTGAGAACAGAAGAAAAATATGTTTTAGTATTGTTTATATGTATATCTATCTATCTATCTATATATGTATAGAGATATATTAAAAGATATATTTCAAACAAAAAACAAAAAACAAAAAACAAAACAAAAAATGTCTGGGTGCACGACCGGCTTGGAGGATCAATTTTCGGTGACCTCGGCAGGAGTGCCCCGCGCGTGCAACCACGCTGCCCACGATCAGAGCAAGCGGGAAGGACCCGAAGACGAAGTTAAAGCAGCTGAGGGGATATTTTTGTTGGAAGCGACGCGGCGCGCGCTCCTCATTTTTCATGTTGGCTCGAGGGCTCAAGGGCTCAGGGCCCACGGCTCCGCGCGCGCTCCGCCACTTCTGTCTCCCATTCTTTCGCCCTATACAAACTTTCGTCACACTCTTCTTGCACTCTCGCCGCGTGTCGCTACGAATGGCATGGGCATTTCAAATATTAAACCACGTGCCATGGGGGGATGTTGGAAATGCCGCGTATCCCGCCAGCCAATTCCTAGGTGGTCTGGCTAGGTCTGCCACGCGGGATTATGATGCATTCTTGGCTGCGTTGCCTACGGGATGCACGCAAGCCGCTGTCCACGCGGCGCGCCACGGCAACGACATGCACAATTACGACATTGTGCCAGAACTCGGGCCTATCGCCCTCGCGCGGGGGTGGGCGCTCCCTGGTGGCGGGCTGGGCATTGCGGTGGGCAGCGCGACTACGATCTTCATGATGATGATATGGAGGAGCAGTCGCGGCCTTCCCCCATGCCACCGCCGCCGGCAGTCGAACGCGGCAAACTCGAACTGATCAGGCACATACAACGCGGCGGAGACGCAGCCTTACAAGAATTAGCATACGAATCCGGGATGACCGAAAAAGCACGGCTGCACCGCTCGGCGGGGATACAAGGGCCTCAGAGGACACAAGTACTGCGAGGCACGCAGTTACAACCACACATGCATCATTACCAAACTGGAATGCACAATGCCCAGGGAAACGGCCCGCAGCTATAGCCGAGCGGCGCCCCCGCCTTCTGCGAGAGGCCCCGCCGTAGGCGGTGAAAGAGGAAGATTACGATGAGAAAAGGAAGGGGGGGCAGGGGCGCGAGGCGGGCGCGGCGGCAAGGGCGGCCCGGCAGGGGAATAGGGGGAGGGGGGGGGGGGCGGAGTGGGCGGGCGCTTCTGCAATGGTCCTGTTGGCGATCATGGTCGCGGTCGCGTTTGTCGCCTTGGTCGCGCTGGCGGTGGTCGCGCTGCTGGTGGTGGGCGGGCTGGTGGCGCTCGCGTCGGCGATCGTGCTTGTGTTGGTCGTTGTGGTGGTCGCGAAAAGCGCGGTGGTCGTGTTGGTGGTGGCGGTAAATGGTGGTTGTCGTAATCGTCGCGGTGGACGCGGTTGCGGTCGTGGCCGTCCGCGGCGATCGCGGCGGCGGTAGCCCCGGCGCTGGCGGCGGTCGCGGCGGCCGCGGCGGCGGCCGCAGGGACCTGCTAGTCTAGCGCCGGAGCGCGTTCAGCAGCATCGCGGTTTTTGTTCAGCGAGCGAAGAGCGGTATAAAATAAACTTTCCGCCGTCGGGGACACCTGCCCCAGGGCGGCTGGAAAGTTTATACCCCTACGGTGCCACCGTAAGGGTATAAATTTTCTAGCCGCCCTGGGGCAGGTGTCCCCGACGGCGGAAAACTTTCTTGTATACCTTTCTTCGCCCGTTAATTTGTAATGATAGAAGGATTCGCTTATCTGCCGAGGTAGCCCAGCGGCCGCCTTCTCGCCGAGGGGGCCGCCGCGCGGGCGATTTTCTTTTCCCCGAAGGCGACGGGCTCAAGCTACAGCGGGTCCAATGCCCCTTGCATTTATTTTGCATAGATTATTCATTCGCCTGTTTGGTTGTTCTTTTGCCGTTTCTTTTTTATTGTATATTTCTGTATGGATTCGCCCATTGCCTTTCCTGCGCGCCCCCGGCATTCGCTCTCATCTTTCCCACGAGTTGTTTTCTTCCCCCCCGCCGCCACCGCGGCGCAGCCAACACCGACGAACTTCCTGATGGGTGAGCGAGCAGGGGCACAAAAAACTCTGGTTCTAGAGGGATACGAGAATGCATTGAAAATCAGGAGGGGGAGGCGGAGGAAGAGGAGGAGAACGACGAGCGCAGTTCACAGAACCTGCAAGTTTGCCATCGGGCCAACAAGTTCACCCCCCCGGTCCGACGACGCACCTGGCCACGGCTTTCTGAAGAGCGACGCCTAGAATGCCCCGCCAGCGCCGTAAGAGGCAGAGCGCGAATCCCCGGCGGACGCGGGGGCGAGCGCCCCGAGCACGCTCCTGGGCAAAAGCGGGCACTGAACCAACAGCTCGGGCTCGTTTGCGTTCCCGCTTCGGTCCATGTTCGAGTTGCGCCCCTGCCTGCCCCCCCCCCCCTCGGTTCACCCCTTTCGCCCCCCCCCCCTCTTCCTGTCTGCGCTGCCGCGCTGCGGATGCTTTGCGCCGGCATCGAAGGAACAACAAAACTCTCAGACTTCAACGAGGAAGCACTGCAGAAAATGCCCCCCCTCCCCCCCCCCCCAAAAAAAAACACGCCGCGCAGGCGAGCACCTCAGAAAAGCGGGTCTGGGACGGAATGGCAGCCGGAGGGCGGGCGAACCAAAAGGCGAGCTCCACTCGCATGCCCCAGCCACGCATGCGACCCTAGACCCACGAAGCGAGAGGGCGCGCGAACTGAAGCGCACCACAAAAAGGTGCAGAGTTGGCTGCCAGCTAAGAGCACCACCGCCCTAAACCCACGAAGTGGGAAGGGAACGGTGCCCGAGCAAACCAAAAACTTGGCGCCGGGCGGACTGGGAAGCTAGAAAGGGGGAGAAATCCCACGAAGTGGGGAGCCATGAAGACCATCGGCCCACCCGCAGGCCCAGTGGCAACTCCTCCTGTTCCTCCTCCTCCGCCGCCCCACTTCCCCGCCCAACCCCCTCCTCCTCCGCCTCCTCCTCCCTCCTCCTCCTCCTCCTCCTGCTCCTCCTGCTCCTACCTATCCTCTCTCCTCCTCCTCCTCCTCCTCCTCCTCCTCTCCTCCTCCTCCCTCCTCATACTCTCCTCTCATCCCTACTCTTCCTCCTCTCCTAATACTCATCCTATTCCTTCTCCCCCTTCTCCTCCTCCTCCTCATACTCCACCCTCTTCCTCCTCCTCCTCAATCCTCCTCATGAGATACATCTCCTCATCCTCTCCCCTACTCCTTACGACTACTACTATACTACTACTATACTACCTACTACTACTACTACTACTACTACTACTACTTCTTCTACGACTACTACTACTACTACTACTACTACTACTACTAGTACTTCTGCTGCTACTACTACTACTACTACTACCACTATACTACTACTACTACTACTACTACTACTACTACTACTACTACTACTACTACTACTACTACTACTACATACTACTACTACTACTACTACTACTACTACTACTACTACTGCTGCTGCTGCTGCTAAGACGAGTACTAGTACTACTACTACTGCTACTACTACTACTACTACTGCGACTACGACCACTACTACTACTACTACTACTACTACTACTACTACTACTACTACTACTACTACTACTACTACTACTACTACTACTACTTTCTACTACTTACTACTACTTACTACTACTTACTACTACTTACTACGACTTACTACGACTTACTACGACTTACTACGACTTACTACGACTTACTACTACTTACTACTACTTACTACTACTTACTACTACTTACTACTACTTACTACTACTTACTACTACTTACTACGACTAATACTAACAATACTACTACTACTAATACTAGGACTGGTACTACTACTACTACGACTACCTACTACTACTACTACTACTACTACTACTACTACTACTACTACTACTACTACTACTACTACTACTACTACTACTACTATTACTATTACTACTACTACTACGACAACTAATACTACTACTACGATTATTACTACTACTACGACTACTACGACTACTACGACTACTACTACTA